ATGATCGCAATTATCGCGGCAATGCAGGACACTTCCGAGCCGCGGGGCGACTTGCGACGTTGTAACGGGAGCGATGAATTTTTTCCAGTGTCCTAGTGCCATAACGCGACACAACCTCCCAGCCACACTTGTTAACGTTTCAAGGTAGAACGAGTCGTTATCGATGGAGGTTTTCCGCAGGGTGGGATTTGCCCTCGATTTCTTCTTTCCTGCTCGTACCGAGAAAAGCTCCGGCGGAGGCATAAAATAGAATATATAATGTCCCGGAAGATGGCAAATTAGGAAAAAGGGTTGCGCGCGCGCAAACCGCGAGTCGATTTTTTTCGACGCTTAGACCGTACACGGTAAAAAGCGCGTTAAAACGGAGTAATCGAAAAAGAAAAAAAAATGCGGGGGAATTTAACCGCTAGGTAACCCCCGATTTAACGCTCCATTTTTTACTGTGTATATACATGGACTAAGCATTTTCGACGAAAACAAAAACGTGGGAGGACGAGGGGCTCGCGTCGCTTTGCCGATGCCAGAAGCTTCGTCTTAACATTCGAGCGGAAACTATGCGGAAAAAAAATGGAAAAAGGACGGCGGAGGTCTTTGGTCGAGTTTAAACGTCTCCCTGCGTTTTTAAGGGGTCGCGTTTAAGGGAACATTTTCGCGCCTATGTTGCGCGACCCCCTCCTTGGGGGGTTGGTCGGTTGTATAAATTATCGTTAACGAGGGGAGCTTTGCTTAGTCCGTGTATATATCGTCTAAGGTTCGAAGATATTAGGTTGTCCCATAAGTTCCTTCCGCATCTTGTATTCATGTCCTATGAAAAATGGGAAGACACTTATGGGACAACCTAATACACGCAGGAGGACTCCGGTACAAGCTCCCTATATCAAGTTCTGATATCAGGGCGACTGGAACTATTGAGATGTCCATCTTTTCCCAGTCGTCGAATTTAAAAGCCCTGTTACCCTTTAGGGGTCGCGTTGTAACGGGGTCTTGGCGTATATCGAACTTAGCGCCGGATAACGATTGTCGAGAAAATCCTTTCGATTCCTCGAACGTACTCGCGGGTCCCGCGAGTCCTTCTACTTTTCGGAAATCGAGACGATACGAAACGACAGGATGGAGAAGAAATTCGTTACAGGCGAGGACGCGCGTCTCGCCGGTTCCCTTTGACGTGCAATTGCGCGACAATTGCGCCGCAATTGCCATTACCGTGATGTACATTGTCGGGGCTTGAAGAGGAAAGCCGTAGAAAATGAAACGCGATTCAGTCGAGGCGATCTCGCGGTCTCCACGACTCTACGGATTATTGAGAAATTGCGATATATATATATTATATTATATGTATAGAGAGAAGGTCACAAAGGATAATATATTATATAAATATAAATATGAACATAAATATAAATATATAAATACACATACATATATAAATATATATATATATATTATATTATATTATAATTGACAATAGAGAACACAAACGATGTTATTGTATGTAGTGGAGGGAGAACAAAAGTCGACGCGATAACGAGAGATTGGAAGGGAGAGAGAGAGAATCAACGTATCTTAAGTGTAAATTGCACGCGTAAATTGCGAGGAACGGATTCACCGAGACATTCTATTAGATGCAGCGGCAGTTGTTACATTGTTGTACGTCGCAGTAAGCGCGCATACATTTAGGAGTATAGTGATCGCTCGTGCATAATTCGACTAATCGTTCGCCCCCCCCCTTCGCGAGTGATCCGCGCCCTCGGCCCTGAGATAACGAATGGCCGAATTTTATTCCAAATTAGGAGGGACTTTGCGACCCTCTCGATCGTGCACCTTGGTCGAGGAATATTTTTTTCCTCTTCGTTATATTTTGCTGCGAGGGCAAAAATCAACGAACGTGTATTTTTCATCGCGTCTCCTTAAGGTGAAGCGAACCCCCCTCGAATGAATCAATCGGTGGATTTCTGGAGTTTTACGTCGATTTTTTTTTATCATTATTGTTCTTTGTCATTCACGGAAACGACATATGGAGTATGCCATTTAGTACAAATCCAATACAATTCGACACAGCCGTCGATATAAATGCGAAGGTATTTGGAAGAATCTCTTTCACCGACGTCGATGAAATTTCTCGACGCGTTTCGCTTCACCTTAAACTCTCGAGATGGATATTAAATTGATAACGGAGATAAGTAGGCCTGCTCGCGGCGCGATCGGGCGCTCAAAGGGGGTGGTCCATTTTCTGGGATAGTGACACATACGAGGAGCTTGACAATCGAAACTTTTAGGGCGAGGTATATCTGGGGGAGGGTCTCGACTCGATCTGGAATAAAATTCTCGACCGTCGGTAATCTCGACGGGTGTTCGCGATTACGCGTCCTTGGTGGGATCCGCGGTCCACGCGTGTCCGTGGCGAAGGATTTTTAAGCAAGGATTGTACAAATCTGTACGTAACGTTATTTCACTCGAAGTGAGAGCTAGGCTTAGGCTGTTAATACGGTATATATAATATATATACAGATATATACATATTCGGGGTGGAGCGACGAGGGGGAGACCCGGAAGGAAGGGCGGGGTAAATAATTAAAAACGTAGGGATAACCAAGGCAGGGACGCGTAGCGCATAGAAGCTCGGGGACTGTGGGAAGGGATGGGAAAGTCCAAGGGAGGGAGAAAGAGAATTAAGTACCTTGTCGAGTGTAAGTAGTCGTACCGCTAAGTACACGCGTGGTGCCGCGCGACCCGCCCTATACCTCGCGTACCCACTCTCGGGAGATGAGAAAATATATATATATATATATATGTATTAATCTTCCCTCTCAAGTTATACATATATATGTATTATAAACGACTCGAGTTCGTATACGCGCATATACGAGGTGGCGCCTATTCGCGCGAGCCGAGGGAGAGATCTCCTCCTCTCGGGCGGATCGGAGGTCGCGGGGGCGCGAGCTCCCGAAGAGGTCCCCCAGGAGGTCGTCGCGTCCTCGCGCGGGTCGGAAACTAGCGTAGACTTCCGGAGGAACCTCGGTTAACGCGCGCGAGCAGCTGGCTGCACGAGCCCGGACCGGAGGGGGTCGGTATATATGTATATCGTATACACAACTCGCCGCTGGTGGAAGTACGATCAAGTATTGTACCTTACATTCCTTTGGCTATAACGTAATTTAAGGAGTCCGATCGCTCGACGCGCAGTCGCCGACTCGGGGCCCGGGACCCGACCCCGGACTCGGGGGCGACGAGCATGGACGTAAGGATGTCAGAAGACGGAGCCCAATGTCCCACGTTAGACGACACGGTTCGCCTCGTTCTTCTCTTAAGCTACTTCCGAAGCGACGTCCGAATCTCGGTTTGGCCTTCCTCCGGCCCTCGCTCCTCTGGCTTGGGCTTCGTTCATGTATCTTTCGTCCATGGTCTCGCCCGAGGATGGGTCCAGGGCCTCGAATCGGGGCACGGAGAACCGTGACGTGTACCTCTTCTTGGCGCGGAGTCGGCCACCCTCGTGCAGCGACTTCCGCGTGGAGGCGCCGCGACCACGGGTGGAGGGGCACGTCGATCTCGAGATTACTGGATTTCTCGATCCAGGGGAGGGGAGGCGGAAAATAAGGGCAACTCGTCCCCTGGATCCGCGACTCGAGGAATGATTTGTGCCCATAATTATGAAAGTGGCCTAAGTCATATATTTTTTCTTTCGAAATTACATTGAATTAATTTCGTTTGAAATAATATGCCGTGAAATAACTGATAAACTCTTTTTTCTTAATTTTGACTTAGACCACTATCGTAATTATGGGCACATTTAGAGATGATTTTATAGGGGGCGTCGGCGAGTTCGAGGATCCCGATTTGCCCCACCCGTGGTCGCGACCCTTACCACCTCCGCGGTTGTTCTGACCGTTCGTAGCTCATCCGTCGTCGGCGTTACGAGTCGAGCACAAAAGCGCGTCTTTTAACACCCTCCCCTCCCACCCGCGCTCCGACCGACTCCGGGCCATTCCTGCTCGCCTCGCGCGATAAGAGGGAAGAGGGAGAGAGAGAGACGGAGAAACGATATCTCGCGAAAAGGCGAGCCAGGAACGACCCCGAGGAGACTTTTTATCCGCACACGAGGATACACGCCGTACACGATGCATCACATGGCTCGGCAGAGAGAGAGAAATGGAGAGAACTCGTTTCTTTGCCCTCCCCCGTTCCTCTCCCTCTCTTCGTCTTTCGCCGCTTCCGATCTTTTTTCGTTCGCCTTCTCTTTTACCACCCCCCGTGTAATCTCCTTTTTATATATTTATTAACTCACCTCTCCGAGTTATTTAAAGGATGTATTTATTTTTCGTGGTCCGTCCCCGCGCTCGTCACCTCCCCACCCCACCCCCCCGCCCTCCGCCTACCGATAATGCGTGTAATTAGTTGCGGTCGTCGCAAAGTGACGGAGAGAATGAAAGGAGAGAAAAAAAAAAGAATCGGGCAAGGAGAGAAACGATACACCGAGAGATAAAGAACTCTACTCTAATTATTAATTACTACGCTCTAACCACCCCACCACCCTTGTTCCGCACCCACGGAAGGGAAGAGCAAAAAAGAGATAAGGGAAACTGTTATTCTTTCATCATCGATTTATTCCATTCAATGTTAAATAATGATATAAAGTAAACATAATATATTAACTATTTTCATTCATGAGAAGCATCGTTACCTGTATGAGAAGTGATCACGAGAGCATAATAAACAATCGCTCATTAAATGCATTCTGTTGTTCTTCATTTCACACCGGCCCCCCGCCACCGTCCATCGGTCCATACATCCATCGAAGTCCATCGAACCCATCGATTCCGTCGGGTCGATTCTACGCCATTCGCATATTTGTCACGCTCAAGGTGATCTGGCTTTTCTGCACGGTAACTTACGGACCTGGGTCTTTAGACTAAAGAAATAATCGAGAAATCACGACGCGAATCGATCTCGAGCGAGGAAACGTTCCGTGCTCGACGGGTACCTATATATATATATTTGCGTGTATATATGTATATTATCTAATAAGATGGCTGTGGCGATTTACCTGCCGGTAATCACGTAGGGCACGATCGATGTCGTTTAAGGCATCGATCGATTACGAGACGATCGATTTATTTGTTCTCGATCGATGCATTCCGGTGGCTTCCCCCCGACTACGCATGCGCGGTACGCGGGTCGTAATGAGTTGTCTCCAGGGTTGGGTACTTCTGTATGGAAGATAAATCCAGGGAGGAATTTCAATGAAATTAGTGAAATTAATTTGCTATTCTTAGAAAATATTTACCCGTTTGAATATGTAATAATTGATGTTTGTAATTTAGCGGAGGCCGCATGTCGTACGTCCGCGACATACGGTATATTGGAAACGTAATTTGCTATGATTTTCCACGGTAAGCTCTACGTGGTTTACGTGAGGTATGTGAAAAAAAAAACCTCGAGAAAGTAATAATTGCCCAACCCTGGGTATCTCGCGAGAAGGTGCTACCTCTTCCTCTAGTCAATAGTTAAGTAAATTATTTTTTATATATAAACTCTCCGATGTACAGTTTTAAGGAGATCGGAGCGAGCACCATGTACGAGAGGTGCGCACTCCGGAAGGACGAGAGATGTCGCAAAATAAATTTTCTTACCCCGGTAAGAGCGGTACCCACCGAGTGTTTACTGTTCCCCCATTTTATATTCCGTTGGCACCTCGCGTTATCGGCCGATTGCGATACCGGGTGCCGAGGGATGCGATAAGGAAACTAGGCTCGCATCTCGTGACACAGATTTTATTATTCTCTATAAGCAATAAACGTACATGATCATTTGTTTCACTTATAAAATATCTATGTTTACCGTACCGTTTGTTTCATATTTTTTTTTTTTTTTTTCTTTAATCCGTTATCCGTGCTCTTGTCCTCCCTTTAACATTAGGAATCGCTACTATTATCATACAGGCCTTTTCGTTTACGAACGGCGCGTTTCTTATATAATAAGTCGTCTCGCCGTATTAACTCTTTGTCCGGCCGTTCTTCCGACTAGTCTATCTAGGTTTACCGTCGATGCGATGCCAAGTAATTACCGGGTACCCTTTTTTTTCTTTTTTTTTTTTTCTTATTGCCATTGATCGATCGGACTACACGGTGGTTTTAAATCGACCGCGGTGGACGCGCTGCGCAACGCTTTTACCGGTTAATTATCCTTCCCTTCGTATATTTAACAAATCCCGGGACGATACGAGACCCACCAGGGTATGCACGACCTGGGCGAAAACCGTCTCTCTCTCGAGTTAAATTCCTGTTACCGATTCCCCACGAGTTTTGACAATCACGAGGACCCCAGCTATTGTCGCTAACGAGTTGGACACTGTCAATTGTACACGGGGTTCGCACCTAATAGCGCGAATACCTGGAAGATTCACGTTTGATTACGCTTGTCCGGATCGAGAGATCGATCGATTTGATATTTCGACTCTAAGGAGGCATCGGTCTTCGTCGTACTCTGGAAGACGGTCGCGCGATCTTCCGGGGTCTCCATTGTCTTTCTTTCGCGGCAGTAGAACGCGTAGGAACTGATAGTGTCTCTTTAACGATAACGGATTCCGACGAGCAGGTCGCAACGAAGAGTTTTCCCTGCGGCTTGCGACCTAGAACATTATCTCTACCCCTAGGATGTATCAAAAGTAATTCTATGAAAATAATTCAGTCGAAGGCTGCTCTTTTGCGTCCGCGGAAGCGGTCACTGGGAGTCCTTGGCCGAACCCGCGGCACTTTGAAAAACGCTCGAGGACCCTATGAAATTAATTGTTTTTTAACCCGGTACTACCTGTTTAAAGAAAAATCGAATTAGGGGAGAATCGCTCGTTTCGAGACCGAGCACTCCCTGTGACCGCTGCTGTTAATTATATTATGTACACTTGTTAAGACTATAAGGCGTTGATACCGAAGTAGTTGCGAGTCCCAAGGAAACTACGACGTCACCCTCGACCGAAACCGGATACAAAGGAATCTCGTTTACATGGTCAAGAACTACTTTCGCACGAGGACAGTTTCGAAAATGATGCATATACATGAGCGTGGCGTCTCGCGTCATCGCAAATGTTTCTCGCCGTTTAATTCTATCGGATAGATGTAGAGACGAGCGAGTGCCTGGGGATAACTCTTCGCTGCTCGATAACGCGTTGCCTGGGACCCGATTCCCGAATTCATACGATGAAATTTCTCATTACAATTATGCGACTTCGCAACAATGGGATATTTTTTAATGCGAGTCCGTTCTTAAGCGAAAAAGTCCCTATGAATTCGAGAATAGGAGCTCAGATTTCCAGGTCGAAATTCTAGAAATTTAGGCTCGGATTAGAATTGAAAAAATGATTCGCGCGAGAGAGATATACCTTGGAAAGTCAAGGCTTCGACGAAACTTTCTGTTAACTGGCAGGGACTTTCGAATGTACAAAAAGACATCGCTCGGTTAAACTAGCGTCCCTGTACTCGGTCAGGTAGAATCGGAATAATTAGAAAGGAGAGTCTGACCTCAGGCTCGAGCTAAGGGTTTTATTCCGAGTCGGGAATTTGATAAATGTATATTGTACAGAAATAATAAACTGTCGAGATTTACTTGTAAAGGGTTACACGATATTAGCGGCTCTCGAGATGTACTCGTACTCGTCGATGCGTAGTGTGCTCAAGGAGGAAATGGGTAATTGGAATCGAGTACTTATGGGCTACCGTAGGTTGAAATTAAAATTGAGCATACTACGCTCTACCTTTCAGGCTAAAGAAATGCATTAAATGCTAAGCCTACGTCCGGACTCACTTCGTACCTATCCCTAATAGTTCTTAACGCTTAAGCTTTGCGATGCGACAATGGAGTCTCGCTCTGCGGGGAAATGAAACGTACTCAAAGTGTAAAATCTTAGAGAAGGAAGATGTTTTGTACTTTTCATTCCTCGGGTGTAGCGGTACGGGTAATTTGAGTACGGCAAGTTCGACCGTCCTCGATTCCTCCTAGGTTCCTTTCCGTTTCCTATTTTAACTCGTCCAAGCGCACTCGATAACGCGGGAGATTACCTAACTCCGTCCTTAAGGAAGGATTAATACGTACATTGCTCCTCCTTGCCAATGTACCCTGTACCCTTGACGGAGGCGATAAAAAATCAATTACGAAATTATATTATATCGTAAGTATAAAAAGTAAACTTTTGATTCTCACGTAATATAGAAACCTATTTGTAATAGGTTAATAAATTTTTAAAAAATATTCTGGGGGTATCGTACAGAGGAGAAATTTCGTTAATTTTAACGGTGAATGTAGAAGACAATGAAAAACGTAACAAAATTAAAAAAATAGGCCAACATCTCTATCACCTATGCGTAAACTCGGAAATAATCTTGCAGCGGCGAACGTCGCTCGGCCTATTAAGTACAGTCTTGGTACTTTTGTTAAAAACCATTGCCGGCTGTAACGCTATCTCGGAGTTTACCTACAGCTGCCGAGTGATAAAAGGTGCATAACTCAGCTAGCATTTTCAACATCGTTGATGTGAAAGTGTATGTTAAAAATGAAACAACTCGAGCTCGTTTCTCGGCTCAAATTCGGATATACCAAATTCTTGTAGTTATTAAAAAACACCTTCAGGTTACATCGTACTAGTAGCTGTAAAAAAATATTTAAAACCCAAGTTACTCTTTGCCACGTTTCAATCTTTCTAGAGCAAAATAAAATGAGAACGAATTATGGAATGTAGCATCACAGATTCATGACTTAAAAGCGCACCGGAGTCAGGATCCTTCAACATAATAAAATATTCCAAACATCGAGAGAAGCAACGCACCACCTTTTATCACTGTCCAGCAGCCGAGTCGAGGACCACCTCTGTTTCTTTTAAAAAGAAATTTAAAAGAGGAACAGGGTGGTCTGCCTTGCTTGCTACTTGGTTGCTTCCGGTGGACAATCGGGCTGATTATTGGGATGAGCGGCAGTGAAAGCTGGGTGATTCTCTAAGTGACGATCTACCCTCAAAATGGTAGGAAACGGTCTCAAGTCGACGTGAAACCTTCTGGCGTTAAATATTTGCGGTACTAGACAACAATCTGCTAACGTGATTTCATCGCCCACGCAATACTTACCTGCACTCGAGGATAATAATTTTTCCACGGCTGAAAATCAACGGATTTTTGGTAAAAAATAATGGAAACCAAATTTTCCTTTGATCGTAAGTACGTCACTATTCCTTTCCCAAATACTTTGGATCACGGATGGACGTACCTGTGAAACCTCGGGTGATCCAATGTTGTGCCCACTCCTTCTTACGTTCCTCCCCGACGTAAATTAAAACCACTAAATTTTGCAAGGGTTGAATGCCACTAGCGATCACTTCACAAATTTCTCTCACTCTGGCTCGTTTTACTGGATCGGCTGGCATTAAAGGGCGATGTGGTCTAGTTTCTTCTAAGTATTGTAAGATGTTCAGCTGGAACGGTTCCAATTTTCTAAAGCCATCTAAACTTGTCCTCGTTTAATCTAATCCATATGTTCCAGACTTACCGATTCTATGATCGTGTGATTGTCAATATGTAGAGCCGGTACCTGCTCCATCGGATTGACTTCACGGAATTCATTGGAATGTTGTTCCCCGCCGCTTTTTACCAAACTCACAGGTTTGATGTCGTATGGTATTTCTTTGAGGTTCAAAGCTACAAGTTTGAAAATAATTTTGAGCATTGTTAAATTTATTAAAAATTAGACAAACTGGGAAAATTACTCACCGATTCGCACCCTCCACGAGCAGGAACTCCGCCAGTAGGAGTAAAGAACCGGCTACGGAAAAAGAGAGAGGGTTGAATTTCTCGATCATGTCGGTGTTTACAGGGTTAACCGGCTTTTAATCCACGGAAAGATTCCTAGCTCGAGGCGAAATTTAAAACCAGCGTCCGGTTGTCAAGGTCGTCGGTTTAAAAACCTCGAATTACCGTGCGAATTAATTGACCGTCGATGCCTAATTACGGCGTGTGCGCCCGCACGAATAAAGGGGTTGATAGGAAGGATCACCCTGAGTGCCCGCTTCGAAATCCAGTCGGAAAATTCCGCTCACCTTTCCCATAACAGACATCTCGTCGGACTCGGCTGGACGGACTCGTGCGCTCGACCGATCGTTTCGCCGATTCCCCGAGAAAGTAGCTAGCCGGTTTCTCGAAAATTTGGAATCCGCTCTACGCGCGAAATCGCTCCTCCTTCCCTCTTTTACCCGATTGCCAGACGTCCCGTTCGAGTTCCACCACTACCGGCGAACGCGGTTGCTGACCACGTTCATAAAAGAGAAGGTGAGACCGCCCGAGCAAAACCGTCAAGCAACCGCGAGATGGTGCTGCCGCAGGCTTAGAGCCTTCAAAGTTGCCCAGAAATATCCCTAAATTTTGGTACACTCATAAAGAAATCCTTTCTAACAAAGAAAACAGAAATCGCAGGACATGCAAATGACACAAAAGCCGGAAATAATCTACCTTTTTGTTCATTTCTCGATATACTCACCACAATTCTTTATCACCGTCGAGTCTCCCTCTTTTTATATCGATTTCTCGAAGATATCGAGATAGAGGAGACATCTCGTAGTTACAGGTACGTAGTTCACGAGCGCATCGACAGATGGCGCCACGATCGAGACGCCGCTACCCGTCGAGCGCGCCGCTCCTCTTCGCGGTGGCGTCATCGTCCGTTGCAGGCAGCGCTTGGACAACGCCGCATCGATAGTTCTCCGAGGTCCCGCGACGACCGTTCATTCGTGCACGTCCGTGCCGCGAGTGCCAGTCGCGAGTGTAGTCAAAGGTGCGTTCGTATCCAGTGCGTCGCGTCAAAGGGTTTCATCGTGCGCCCAACCGCGGGCCTCCTGGCTTTGATCTCGCCGGCGTCGCGCCGCGTTTCTCGGAGACTCGGACGCCGCGCGTAGCGGCGAGGAGCGCGCGCGTCACCGTCCACACCTCCGAGGCGATAAACACCACACGCGACCAAAATAAACCGGGAGGCACAGATTTTTGGCGAGCTGCTCGACCGCCGCCGGCAACGGCCACCCCCGGGGCCGCGGCTTTCCCCGAGAATTGGCGCAAATGTGCGCCGAGTCGGCCGAGCGCGTCGACGACCACGTCGGCCGCCTTCTGACGGGTGGTGACAGTCGAACCTTCTCCGTGCCCGAAGGAAACCGAAATCCGCCGCGTCCGGTCGGTGAGGCTATGTGCCGCACTTGAGGACCGCCCGCGACACCCTCAGCCGGACTCTCCGCCGAGAACAGGGTAATTATCCGACCTGCTTCTAACCTAAGTCCCCCTCTTGCCCGAGTTTGACTCTTTTCCCGGTTTGAAGCCTTCCCGAGCCCTTTCGAGACGTCTCACCTCGGCCCTAGACGTACTTCTTCGTCGTCGAGTTTCTACGGCGTGCAGTAGGAGCTACTTCCACCGGTACGCAGTAGAGCTTTTCGAAAGGAGGTCACGCATCTTATGAGAGAAGCTGCGAAGAGCATCGTACGAACGGTGTCTTTCGTCACTGTATATCGGACGAGGATGTTTCGAGCCAGGCTGCGGTAGTTTAACGAGCTTCTTCCAGAGAACTAGTTTAAACTCCAGGAAACGATAGAACTTGGTCTTCCGATAAATAGGAGGAAACGTTATAAGGTTTTTAAACGTTCTTTTACTTCCTTCCTGGGTTTTAAATAGCTCTACTTCAAAGCCCAGGGTTAGGAATAGGTTTGCATTACCGTTTCTATAGAATTGTAGTATTTTAACGAGTATTTAATGGCGTTACTGTCTGGCTCGAATGATTCTTCTCTTATGTGCCTCGATGAGAGGTACCATATTCCTTTTCGCAGGCTTTCGCAATGCAACCGAGTGAATTTGGAATTAATTGAAGGCTATCGCGCGAACGGCTATCACGGTCGGTAGCACGATTTATGTGGTTTATTTATGTCCACGCGGGTATCGCGTTATACTATATAATTTGTAAGTAAGAATGATACTGCGGCGAGTAGAATGTCTTTGGAACGAGATTTCAAGGCGACCGGCGAAAGTCTATTACGCGGTTGGTAACGCAGCCGGTACGTTTTATTCCCGGCACTCGGCGTAATTACGTTATACACTACGTAATCATTATTATTAGGAATAATAGAATTATCATCCTGCCGGTAGAAGTGTCGATACGTTCAATTTACGCCCGCGAGACGCGGTAATTTGCCATTTCCTTCCGGGATAATTAGACTTCGGGTCGGGTCGTTGTCCTTTGCAGAAACTGCGCCCGTGCAATGTACTATTTCCGATACCATTGCACATTTCCCATTCCGAGTGTTTTGTACGCGAAATATATATATTTTTTTTTTTCTTATGCAACGATTTACGATGTCTACGCGGGGCCGATCAGAATCCTCGCAATGGATAATAATTAAAGAGTCGATTTGGGAACGCGTACGACGATTCGCAAGTCAGGAAAGTAGAACGCAATTTTCGGATCGCTCGGCTGAGCGAGAAGTAAAATTAACTAGCGATTTATCGGCCCGTGGAGAGAGTCAACTCGAATTATCGGTGTAGACCCAGACCTATGTTTACCGGTATCCACTCTCCGATATCGACGCACTCGGGACCTCTTATCACGGGAGACCCAACGCCTGCCCGGTTATGCATTTTCGTATTTTTCGTTTTCCGTATGTTTTCACACTTTGCTCGTTGCGACAGCTCCGATAACTCCTCCATGACGCGGTGAATTCTCCTCGGCCGTGAATCGCGACTCTCAATGTCACTCCTGCGCGTATTATCTTCCCGGGAACTTTCGCACCCTCCTAGAATAAAACGGAAAAGATATGTATAAAAATGAAGGAGAGTACATAGTAATAAAAAACATAAAAATGAAGGAGAGTCCAGGCGGAACGTAACGGCGATAATGTTACATCGCGTCTCGTTGCAACAATTGCTCGTTGCTAATCACCTGTACTAACGAACTTTTTCTTTTCTCTTCCAGGGCGGACATTGGACATCTCTTGGGAGGCCTTTTCGGGCTAAGAAGCAAAAATTGAGCGGAACATGCCGATGGTGTTCCTGGACCGGTTGCCGGTCCCGAGTCTTCGCGTCTACACGACCATCAGTGTCGCGATTCTCTCCTGCTCGGTCTACTATGCCGCACAGATAGTGAAGGACCCGGCATGGCGGACAAATCACACGAGCATCGCCGTTCCCGGAGACAACGTCACCGGGAACGGCACGGCAACCGATCCAAGGACCTTCGCCGTGCACCTGAAGGAGCTCCTGGCCTGCATGGTCCAGGAGCCGGGATGCATCTGGGTGAGTCCGGGTCTTCGACGAGTTTCCCCGATTTAATCCACCGGTCTAAACGATCGGACGTTTTGCCCCGTTTTACAGAATCCACGGAACCAGGTACGAACCCGATGTCGAGGCAGAAAGCCGGGGTTATCGCAATGCTTTGTTATTTCCTCGAGAACCAACTCTCTCCGGCGTGGCCAGATGGCCGAAGGAGCATAGATTACGCCGAGCAAACGATACACTTTGCTCAAGGGTCGCGTTATCCGCTTTGCGTGACGTTGGATTTCGTTAATTCATCGTCTCGAGTCGATATCGGCGTAACGCGATAGCACCGATAACGAGCGGGGTCTCATTGATCTGCGCCCTGTGCCGATTCCGCGACTGTCTTGGGTAAAGGTCTTCGGGAGTGGATCGAAATTATTTTTGGAAAGATGAGGTCGGCTGGGTAACACGAGACATTCGGGGAGGCCGACTGGTCCGGTATCGGAGCCGGAGAGATCGATTTTAGATCCTATTAGAGTAACGCTTTAATTTCGATCGCTACTTCGCCGTGGACTTTATACCCGGTTATATCGAGCCCTCGTAATGAAATCACTGCCCGATGATTTCATCGCAGATTAATCGGCGATTGACCGGGATGCCCTCGTGGGACCCAATTCGCGATTTCGCCGCGGCGGGATTAATTCTCCCATGGAAGGGAATTAAGCGTCGAGACGCGGCCCTCTTTTCTCGCTTCCGGCGTCGGTGGTTTTTTCTGGGCTAGGTCGAGCCACCCACGTCGGCCAGCTGACTCACCGATTCTCCGGTTTCTCTCCGCGGCACGGCGAGACCGAGAGGTTGAACCGATTCGTAGAAATCCGCCACGTGGACGTGACTCCCAGGGGCCTTCTCCTCTTCCCTCAACCTGAATCCCGGTAGGGAACCGTGGGTCGGAAACTGAGAGCGAAATTCTAAAGCCGAGGGTTAGGGGAGAATTCACGTTTTCTGGTCCTTTCCTGGCCGTAAAGCCCGCGGCCTGGTTCCTCACGTGCTCGGATATCGAGAGAGAGAAATCAACGGCTCACTGGATTAGTCCCGAGTCGCCGTTTCCCGTGGGTATTCATAATGGGGAACCTCGCGCACCCGCGGAACGACCAAGAGAGGTTTCCGCAACGACACGCGTACCTCTTCTTCCACTTGGCCCGAGTACAATGGGTTTTGAGAAATTCTGAAATCGTACGAGCCGAGTCGCCGGGGAAAGTGCAGGACCCATGCCAGGTCTCGTTGGCTTCTCTCGATTCGTGACTCGCGCCTCGTGACCGACCTCCTCCCGATGAACGTCTGGACGATAGTTCGTAAAATTGAGAAAAAATTACATTTTTATCCCCGTTTCACATTAAAGGCCGATACGAAAAGAAATTCACTCGGGGAGTAAGCACTAGCGGATACGTAAAAGAAAGGAACAAGGGCTTCGCTTTAGCGGGAGAATTTATGCGTACCGTGTAATGAATTTCGCTCCGAAGGTATCAAATCCACGTGGCCCATCTATCTTCCTCGTTTCCCATCAAAAATCCCTGAAACCCGTGGAATCGGCTTTCCGGATGAGGTGAAAAAAACTGGATTATTGTACCTCTCCCTCTCTTTTATTTATTTATTTTTTTTAATCGCGGGGAAGAAACGCCACCCCTGGTGCTCGCTCTGTTATTTTCCTGGGCGTGTATCGATCTAGTGAGCGGTGACGTGTCGCGGACGTCACGGCCAACGACACGTGGAGTTCGAGTTCTCTCTGTTTTTCTTTCCATTCTTCGGTAACGGGACCCGCTCGATTGGCAGGGATCATTTCGAGGAGGTCCTGACGAAGGGAGGTCGATAAGAAAAAATTGGGAAATATTTGGAAAGCCAATTTTCGAGCTACTATTGTACGTCGGGGAACGCGAGAAAGGACACGTGGGTCCTCGACTTGTACGCTGACGTGTATCTTGAAACTAGTCCTTTAGGACTCGTCACCTTGACGGTTACGGGGCTTCCGGGGCGCCAGGACTTCCGCGGTCGGCTAAAATAAAGTGACCTTTTCTATATAGGCTCGCTTACTTGGCAATGAGAAAGTCAAACGCATTAGAGGGCCTCGCCATGCCAGAGGTGTTGCAACGATCCCAACGGACCAATGTCACGGCTGCAAATCGCTCTCTCGCTCGCGCGTGGCTTCTCGCTCGTTAAAGGCCGTTTAACGGGGAGACACGAAATGCCCGGCTCGATAGGATATGCCCTCCGGTGGTTACGGAATTCGGAAACGACGCTAAATCCGCCGGATCTCGATGAAATTCCCAGGGACCGCTGATTTTATTTTTATTGGATTTTTGCCGCGGGTGCGTTTTCATCTCTATTTCTATTTTTAATCCCACCACGTGTTCCGGGCGAAACGCGGAATGGATGCAGGTTGGGGAGGGGGGAAATTGGAAAAATGTTTGTACGGAAAGGAGGAAAGGAAAAACCGGAGGCTGGGAAGAGGAGGGATCTTTCATCTGGTATTCCTTTCGTTTCTTTTTATGCCCGGACTTTTCCCGGAGATTTGGTTTCTGCTCCGTTCTTTATGGTCAATTACTCGCTCCGTATGGACATTCAAGAGTAAACACTGGAACGTGCTATTCGTTCGCTTTCGTAGACTTTCACCTATCTCTTATGTAAAGGCGTCTATTCGTTCCTCGCCATGCCGGGTGCAGCGGAATTGTGCTACTCATTTTAAGGGAAAAAAAAAAAAAGAAAAATGTCGACGGGGCGGCAGATCTCGAGGGGAGTGGAAGCGAATCTTCGGGACGATTGGGACTTTACGTTGAATAATAATTGCGTCGTTAATGGCGGTGATCGGGCCGAATAAAAAATGGGAATTGCGATCGGGATCCGGAAGACCGAGGGGGAGGACGAGTCGATAAAAGGGTCGGTTTACGCCACCTTTGACCTGCTCTATCCAGTCGTTCTTGACCCGGCGTTGTTCCTCTTAAAACCAGTTCCGACCACAACCTCGGTTAAGCTTGAAAAGTGCTTTTGCCTTTCGCTGAAACAAATCCAAAAGACCGCGTCACACCTTGGAGGCTCAGACCGGTCTCTCGCCAGTCTCCGGTCGTTTTTTCACCTCTTTGAGCGAATAAATCCGATCCTATCCTTGCGCTCTCGTTTGTACATCCATTTTATCCTATTTATCCCAGAAAAAAAAATCGTCGTATCAAATTCAGGCAGGATTACATTTTTATAATTTTTTTTTCACGATTTGACGAGTCGCTCGCATCCAATGGCGCGATTCGATAGATTATATTAATATTTTCGGTAGATTATCGAGTTTTCTGAACGTTCGGGTTACAAACTTGATTCGAATAGGTAACTTTAAGTGGTCTCGGTGCTGCGACCTCGCTAAAGAGCCGGCACATGTACTTTTCCGCACCCGAGACTGCACGCGGAAGAGCTCGAGAAGAAAAGTTCCCAGAGAAACCGCGCACTCGATCCGCTACCCTATCGCGTTTAATCCGTTCACGTAACACTGGCAAATGTCGGCCGTTTATGTAACTCTTTGAGAAGAAAAAGAGAAAATGGGGGGAGGAGGAAGAGAGAAATAAAAGTAATCGCCAAATGGGTGTCACTACGTGGGGGGGGCAGAGCAATTACGCGAGGTCGCGCTTCAAACGCGGGAAAGCTCGAAATTCGTTTTATTTTCGGAATTTGCGGAAACGAGTGCCAACCAATTTCGTGGATATTTCAGCGTTTCGAGGAATTCGCGGGGAATTTATTTGGAATTTATACAGGAGATTATATTTCGAAGAGGTGGCTTTCGCGGACGTAACTCGAGGGCGTACCCTGGTGACTTAATTTCCTAATTGGGAACTGGACGGGAAATTTACGGAATTATCGCGGAATTTTTGGGGATCCATTTAGGGTGGACATATCGAACCGCGGTAATCGATTTTAATTTATTACAATTTTTATACGACTAAAATGGGTAATGGGATTTTTTTTTATTCTCTCCGGTTGTTTTTCAAGCAGGGACATTAATGCGTATCAAATGGTACCTTGTAATTTCTGAGTTAGTAACTCCACGAGAAGATTGATAGTCCCCCTGATATTCATGATGATTTCTGCACGAGGTGACGTGTCGGCTATTACGGGGAAAAACGGAATTACTTTTCATTAATTCTTGCGTCGATCTCTCGTTTATTCTGGCTCGATGCTTCCGGGGTTATGGTTGGAGCTACTTTCGTTTTCGAGCAAAGGTTGTCCCAGGGAGAAAGGCAATTTGAAGCACGGTGCACAGACGTTTGTGCGTGGCAGAGGCTATGTAATAAATTTATTAAACTCTAGAAATAATGTTTAATCAAGGGTAGAACCTTTTTTTTTTCTCACGTTGTATCTTTTACCCTTTTGTTTAGACCCTTATCAACATGGCGTACTGCGTGCTGATCTTGCTGGGCAAGTCCATCCAGAAGCTCGTCTTTGGCGAGCTCCGCGTCTCCGAGAGGCAGCATCTTAAGGATAAATTCTGGAATTTCATCTTCTACAAGTTCATCTTCGTCTTCGGGGTCCTCAACGTGCAGTACATGGACGAGGTGGTCTTATGGTGTGCCTGGTTCACGGCTCTGGGCTTCCTGAGCCTCCTGAGCCAGCTTTGCAAGGATCGATTCGAATACGTGAGTGCGGATTCGTTGTTAAGAGAATTTTTTTTAACGAACACCCGACATCGTGGCAACCCACGTTTTTTCCACTGCCAAGGGAGGGACCCCCGGCAGCTCTGGGTATTTTTTCCTATTCATAAACCATGCTAATTTCCGTGTTATAAATTTTTTTTTTAACACTAGGAAAGAACTTCCGGGTTCCGGATGGTGATAGACAGTGACTCGGATTCGCCAGTCACAGGTAACGCAGGGAGTCGCGGATGTGTTTTGTAGGAACAATGCAGGCCGCAAGTGGCATGTCGTGTCAGGATATATTAATAATTATCGACGTAACTCGTATACGAGCGTAGTTTCTGGCGCAGTTGCGCCAGCTGTTGTATACCGCGTTGCAGTTATAGAGTGCGAAATCGGTGCACCCTGTGTGCACGGTGCATAGAGGTAACCTACGGTCTCTCATATTTTGGCAAGGGTGGTCAACGGTCTTCTGGCTGGGTAAAATTTTTAAACGGTAAATTACCTCCGAATATATAAGGTAAAAAATAAATAAGAGCGCCTCGACAATGGGGAACGATTCGAAGCAGGGTTCTTATGCGCGTTTCGATTGATCTCGCTGATCGATTGGCTCCGTTGGGATCGGAAAGGCTGTTGCCGAGGACAAGCACTCGGGTTTAACCTACTTACGACTGTAAAAGTATCGTCTGGTTAACTTGTGCAACTAGATACATTTTCACGCCCGGTAACTCAAGAGAAGACGGCGGTCGCGCCGCTAATAGAAAATTATCTCGACGGAAAGAATAAGGATAGGAAAAATAAATGATAAATAACCGAACGGTATTCCCGTCGTCGAAGATCGTCGATGACTTTGGACGGACGTGCATGGGACGACAAGTCCTTGACACCTTATTCGAAATTCAGCAGGAGTACTTGAAACGAGTGTCGAAGTATCCTTACACAATACTGGAGCATTTAGTCTCTCTACGTTCTTCATCGACCAGAACGGTTCGAGCACTTCGGACGTGCGCCGAGGAATTGTCATCAGAAAATTATTTAGCGACTTATTAATTATTATTTCAAGGGGAGATATTGTCGGAATTTTTTTTTTTTCTTTAGTTTGCATATTTTTACAGGGTAAATCGAGAAGGTTTAGACGAAAAGGATTGAATCGTCTCTATTCTTGGTACAGAGGAATCGATTAAACAAGCTCGAGAGCCTTTACCTTGAAACTGATTGCGCTTAATTGTGATTCATTTTCAGAATTATGAATAGCTTTACGTAAGTCACTTCATTCCCGGGGAAGTTTCGAAAAGGCGTGGATTTTGCAACGATACCGTTTCTGGACGATTCGACCCTATAATAGCAAAATCTGTACCAATCGCCGCTATATCGCAGATTACGAGTCGAGCTTGTGCCAGATCTATTCGTTTTGTGCGAAGCTTGCGCAAACCTTGCAACATAGTCGGTGCAACTCTGTGGTCGGGATAACCGTGAGCTCCGAGATGCATCTTTAATGATAAAGATTATTCCCGGTGGTCGGCTTATCTTGGTTATTTGGAGTATTTTTATAAACTTCTACTCGGACCTTGAGGCCGTAATCGCCGGGGGATTTAGATTCATTCTCGTTACCTGAGACCAGATTCTAAAGTCAGGATTTCGCTTACAACATGTAGACCGGCAGATAAATGTTATTTGACTGTAACAAATTGTAACACCGTCCTCTGTCAGCGGGACATTTATTCGCCTCTAGAGTGCTCTCTTAACTGTGGACACCGGTTGGTTGGTTAAAATTAATTCCATTCGCCGGGAATAAATCCGTAAAATGTCCTAGATCGAGATAACGTCATTTATTCGCTATGAAGATATCCGAGCGAACGCGCAATCCCGGCTTGCAGTACTCGAAAATGCATCTTCCACCGATCCGGGTATTCTGGGCACCTCTGCGTGGCTCCGTCGTTACATTGCGCTGCAATTGCATAATTGGCTAGTTAAAATCATCGGTGGCCATTGGCTCGGACGTTTCGTTGTCAATGTCGAGCGAATGCGCATCCTTAGGCGGGCGGGAAAATGATGGCAGGCAGAACGGTCCTGGTCGAAAAATCGATCATTCCTGGACAGTCGCGACTCTGCGACTGAATTTGTCGGGTCTTGATTTTTCCGTGTACACTCAGCGGATTGCTTAACTCTGCAAATTGGTTCGCTGCCAAGTTCCCTTACGGAACCTTCCAAATTTCGGGCGCATTCGCGAGCGGGGCCTTGAGGGCGTCGAAAATAAATAATCTGCGAAATGACCCAGGCGTCTCCCGGCGCGTGTCGCCTCGACGCCGGTCGTCGGTCGGATTTTCCGATCAATTTCCCGGCTTAATTGGCCGTGACGTTACGTCGTCGTTAAATCTGAGGACGCTTTAATTGTCGCCGAGGAATAACGAAAGAATCCGAACCGAGGTCTCTCGTACAAAGCGTCACCTAAATGTTGTACAAGGAGTGCGCGGGCGTCTTGACGTAAGAGGTCTTGTCATGAATGCCGGATGATTCTTCGACGACCTTCTCGTTACAGGAATGGATGAGGGCGGACGTGTACAGCTAAAGAAGATAAAAAAAGAATAAAAGATATAATAGAAAATGTAGGCAGGAGCTCCCAGAATTTCGGGAAGCGTTTAGACCTTAAGCGAGCTATTTTTGCCCCGAGCGGAAGACGCGTCGTTCTCCGTTATGCAATAAAATAAAGAATCCTGCAATCCCGTTAATTTAATCCAATAGCGTTAAAGAGGTTACCGGGTGAACGGGGTACGTATTGAAACACGTACGTAACTACTGGCATATAAAAGGGTTTCGGGGAGGGATGAACCCCTCGAGTCTTAAATATGTCGCGATGAGTATTATATACTAATTCCCTTGGAAAATATCATTTTCCAAGGGCATCGTACTTGCGATGCAAAATGTAGATGCAGTTTATCGCCGCTGTAGCGCGTTTCATATTTTATTTATGATCGTTAGTGGCCGACTGCCGAATGGGTAATTGTAGGTAAATGGTTCATTGACCGGTCGTTACGCCGGGTAATTCGTCTCTTCGCGTTTAATGTCTCTTGTTTACGCCACCTGTATTTACCGGGAGTTTCGAGGCAAAAGTGGCTCTCCTTAAAAGTCGCATTCGCTGATGCATAATGCCCGTGTCGAGTCGACATTGGGTCTTAACACCTCCTCCATTGTATCCGCACGATTCGAGGCAACGCCGGTGCCATTCTTGCGAGCACGTCCTTCCCCCCTGCTGTTCCTTTTTTTTTTTTTCTTCAACAATGGATCCACCAAGTACGCACTTAAATAATTCATAAACGCGTATCAATTTTAAACCGGTGTCCACCGACTCGGGCAGTTGCCTCTTACGAAGGGGTCGAAGTAAACGCAAGGTTGGCCGGTTGCTTTTATCCTTTTCCGTAATTTTTATTTTTTTTCCTGAGAATATCTCTAGGGGTCGCGATTTCTTGTACGGCGAATTTAAAAGGGTTCGCTTTGATTTTTCTTTTTCCAGCTTTCCTTCTCGCCGACGACGCCAGGGTGGAGTCACGCTCGTCTTCTGGGACTCCTCACCGCCATTCTTGCGCTCTCCTCCTTCATGCTGCTCCTCTGCTTCGCCGCGGCCTTCTTCTTCGTGTCCTTCAACACGTTCGCCTTCATGGCGGCCGAGGTGAGTTACTTTTTGCAGCGCGGGGCCATCGATATCTATTCTCACCTTCCCGAATCCAGAGCGAGGAACCATTTGACCCGTTGGTCGCGGCCACTGGATCCTTGCATTTTTCTGGAATCGTAAAATTATTCCTCCGGTCCAGGTCCTGCCTTGAGAGCAGAGGAATGGCAGGAAATTAGGGTGATTAATTACAATAAGTGGATCAAAGCCACTTGTGGTAACAACCGCCGTTAGAAGCACGCGGGGTAGAGCCGGAGGCGCGTGCTCGCGAAAACAGCTGATCAAATGTGCCCATAATTATGAAAGTGGTCTAAGTCAAAATTAAGAAAAAAAAAAAGAGTTTATCAGTTATTTCACGCCATATTATTTCAAACGAAATTAATTCAATGTAATTTCGAAACAAAAAATATATGACTTAGACCACTTTCATAATTATGGGCACAAATGGTTGCTCCTCGTCCTGTAAGCATCAACGACGCAACATCGGCGATTCGTCGATGTCGATAGGAAATGTTGACCGTCGAACACGTGCTTCCCGCAATACCGCTGTCCCGGTGAGGCGATAACCATTTACTAGGAGCAAAGCGAACTGCCAGGAACCGCTGCCAGTAACTCCACGAGGGTAAGATTCATTGCAGCACAATTGCAGTATTGGCAGCGCTTCGTTTCCGTAGAACCTCGGCCACGGAATCGCTTCGACTCGGGGACGAAAGTGCGCTCGGGATTTAACCTTTCCGCGGTCCGATCGTACATCCGTATTTTTTTTCCCCCATATCTACGAGGTGTTATCGGTTTATAAAATTGCAGGCATATGAATTCATAAATTTACGGAAATTAAATGGCTCGTTCTTGGGCCGGAATGGGGGATGTAGGCGGACGTGCGTTCTCCAGGCTGCATCCATCTTACTGCAGTGCCACCTGCACTGCAGCTTGCACTTGCAGCTCCCTATCGAGTCCAGAGGAAGGACACGAAGACCATTCCCCAGGACGTCGACTCGCTCGATGATATCTCCTCGGATATCAGGACCAACAGGTGTCGATTACGGTGGGAGTGGAGGAGAATGTCGCAAGGACGATGCACATTTTCGGAGCAAATAGCCGATCCTCGAAGATCGTTCCATTCGATCGAAGACGATTTCCACTGCGAGGTTCTGCTCGAAGGTCCTTGCCGGGATGAGATCGCCTTTCGGTACTTCCTGAATTTTTACAAGTTCTTCGGGTCGCTCTAAAAAGAGCTCTCCAACGTTGATTTCATCTTGTTGGGGGTGTAATTAAATATGAGACGATGGATCGTTGAAACCGGGTCGTCTTCTAGGATCAATTGGTCCCGCTGCCGTTTACAGCGTCGATAAGGATAATAAAACGAGGGCGCTCGCAAAGGCGATTTATGGCCATGATATGACGAAAAAAATGACCCGACGTGTTGACTTCACCATTGAATCATATCACGGTGATTGGGACGAAGGTCTTCGTTTGTACGGAGTCGTTGCCCCGTCGAAATCCGACGATATCAGACGGGGTCACCTTTACGTGATAGATTCGTTACCCCCGGAAGATATACGCGATTTAAATCCAATTGAAATTCCTTCCTCGGAATAATTTCATTTAATTCCTCGCCCCGGGGGGAGTATCTCGATTTTCACTTCGCTCGAGCCCCGGGAGTCCTTGAAATTGGAACGATCGCGTAACCGGTAACTGTTCTGCTCTTATTGTTCCAGTTTCCGGATTATGGCGCGCGAGAGGCGAGGTAGAAAAATCAAGGATACCGGAATATTAGAGCTCTTACGAGAGGAGAGGGGAGAGACTTCCGAGGCTCTTTACGTAACGCCGTTCGTTTGTTTTATTTTTTTTTATTTTTTTTCTTCGGCATCGAGTGTACCATCGCACAAGACAATTCGAGTCGTTATCATACCTCCCTCCGGATCCGCAGAAATTTCTTCAAATTACTCCAATGTGAAATCCTGACAATTTTTATCGAATTTCATGTATGGGAAAATTTTTCTTGCCGGGTTGTTGTGGCTCTTCTGTTTTTTATTATGTTTATTATATTTATTATATTTAGGTCGCCGAGGTGTCGTTCCTTGGCGCTGATTTCGTGATTTCCGAGTCATCCCGCTGTTGAAATAGTGGGTCTTTGCCGCTATGTACTCTTTGACGTTTCCAACGCAGTCAATCACGAGCCGAAATCTCGCGGCAATTGCCTCGTTGATATGTCGGTATTAAACGGTCGGGAACTGGCCGTTGAACTCGCTGGTAAACAAGCATATTACGAAATCATTTCGAGAATGGTCCTAGACGCATTCAGCGATGTCCAATGACACCTCGGGTTTTCGATTTCTGGGCAGATTTTCACTTTCTTAATTGACATCCGAGATGTGCTAAAAGCGTCCCTCGCCTTGTAGAGCTATTTCTGCCTACTTCAACGTTTGTTTATAATTCAACGAATTATTTGATTGACGGGAAGGTCAGGTGGTCGGAAATAATTTTACCTTGAAAACGTGATCGGTTGAACGGTCTCCTATTCTCATTTTATGAGTCGGCTGCGAGAAAAAGAAAAAGAATGCGAAAAAAAATGAAGTAAAAGGTGCCAGGAGTATGGAGCGCATTTTCCGGTCACCTTTGCATTGCAACGTGTAATACGATTTTGTTGATTGGCCATGATCGTTAATAATCCCCGTTTAAGATTACGACTAGACGGAATTCCAGGCGTACGTTATCATTTTCAACATGACGCGAGGCTTTCATAATTGATATCCGAGAATGTCACCGTTTCCTTAACGCTGCCATTCGTCATCGTGACGAACGCGGTTTTTCAGTATCCTTGAATAAATGTCCTTAACTTCAACGTAATGGAAAAAAAAAAGAAAAAAAAAGAACAGTGTTCAGTATGCCTTTAAAAATGATTAATAATAGAAACAGTTGTATCTACGGTTAGTTATCGTGTAACGGATTACTGTATCGACTTTGCATCGATCACCTGAAAATTAATGTACGTTCATCGCCATCTCCTACGATGATTAATTCCATTACGATTGCAATTGTCCTCCGCATTCCGTGTCACGTCTCGCCAGGAGATTCTCTCCACGTAGGAAATAAATAATTCTTGTCCCTGCCGTGTTTCTGGCGTCATTAGTCTCTTTTGCCTTCGTCACCAGTGATGCAACCGCAATAATGTCGGTACGATTAGGAATGAATCCGTCATTCATTTCGCGGGTTAAATTTCCCCCCTAGAGAAAATCGCCCGTTTCTTAATTGGCTCTCGCTTGCGGTTCCTGCAATCAGATGGGAAAAGGAAATAATCGATAATCAAAAAACCCGTCTCGTCTTCTACCTTTTGCGCTTTTTCGCGCTTTTTCGCGCTTTTTCGCGCTTTTTCGCGCTTTTTCGCGCTTTTTCGCGCTTTTTCGCGCCTTCGCTACTCCTCGCGGATTTACGTACCGCGAATCGGCGAGGGCGTCGTAACTCCGTCGTCGTTAATTACAAGTGCGTCGCGCACAATCTCGATTACGAAACCGCCGACGTACTCGCCGGCCTCTGTCCTGGTGTTCTCCATAAGCCCGAAGGCAGTAACTCTTTACCTATTTGACAAAAGCTGGCGCGAAATTTCCATTCCGTCGTCGGCGAAAGAAACGCCCTCTGGCATTCTCTGCCGATCCCTTTACATCCTACTTTTGATAAACGATTTCCCCCGTGATCCTTGTACGCGCCTTCGTACGCAATTTTATGTACATGGAGAGGATGCTCGCAAGCGAGATTGAAAAAAAAAAAAATGTCCGTTCACCCCAATACAAACGTGATGGAAAAAGAAAATTTTGCCAAGCATTTCTAGGCTTATTTTTTAGATAAGTTATCCAGAAAACCTTGGGCCGTTCAAGTGATAGAGACACGAAAAAAAAAAAAGTCCGTTCACCCCAATACAAAGGTGATGGAAAAAGGAAATTTTGCCAAGCATTTCCAGGCTTATTTTTTAGATAAGTTATCCAGAAAACCTTGGGCCGTTCAAGTGATAGAGACACTGGTGTTACCGGTGCATATCAAACGACAGGGGAACGGGTACCATCGGGTAACCGTTACACGACATGAGACGTAACGGTGTTTCTCGTTACCTGAGAAAGGAGACGTGCGGCATTGCGATAGGCTTCTAAAGTGAGTCACAGGCCTCGTTTGATAACACGAATATGGGTATTTTGCCGATAGCGCAACTGGGGATCCACGGCCGAGTCGCCTCGTTTTAGCCTAAACTTTCGGAATTTCTTTCTTCCCCCGGTTGATGGTCATATTCCCGTTCAAAGTGCACGAGGAGATACCGATGCGGATTCTGCAAGACGAGGAATTAATTTACGCTAATTATTTATTCCACTGTGTTCGTCGACGATTACCCGAAGACTTCGAGCCAGGGTGTTGGATCGTTGCGCCAGATTTCCCTCTGTGTATTTTTATCAGTTTTCTTTTGGGGGACGAGGAACGCGCAGATTGGCCTGGAAACGTATCTGGGGGAATCGAAGGTCCGGGTTGGCAACCTTCGGCGATTTCAGTGTCCTCTCGGTTCCATATCCCGGCCTCGTAATCGACACCCGAAGTGACACTTCTTTCCACTCCGAGTGTGTCCCGATAATTCGAGAAAGTCGGCAATCTCTCCGATGAGTCGATAGTGGCTCGTTCTCGGATGGGAAATAATTCCGAATGCAGATGGTGTCGGACCATTAGGATGACTCCGCCGATAAATCGTATTTTTCCTTCGGGAAAGAATTGCCCCGTAATGCGTGGCGCTCATAACCTCGCCGAGTATGATTGATGGTTTAAATCTCAAGCCGGGATTTTAAAAACCTCCAGACAGATGAACGCGCCTCCCTTGTTGACTTTTAACGGTGGCTCCTCTCCTCTTTCTCCGATATAATTGTAACAAGTCATTGGCTCTGTTAAACTCCGATAGTCGGTGTCCAAGAACCAGTTTACGGGGTAAAAGTGCGTCGTTGGGGCTGATAGTAGCAGGGCTTGCGCGATAATTGCCTTATTCGAGTAATGGGAATAAATGAATAAAAAGGGGGATTAATCGGCCAATAGGAAGATTCCCAGGAGAATGCAAAGTCTCAACAATGGATGGAGTCGGTGGGGCGATTAATCCTGGATCGGTGTCACCGCCAAAAACTCGTCGAAACGTCTCGGTACACCTTTCGGCTGCAGTCTCGTTTACGCTTGATACGAGTCTCGCCGGGGGTTATGCAATGGTTTAATAATTATTGCGCAATCCCGGGGCACGAATATGTTCAGGCTTTCTTTTGCTTGTTCCCACCGGGTAACCCACGCGAGCACTCCCCGGTACTTTTCTGCGAAAGTTTACATCCGCACGATATACCACCTTCGGGCATGTCGCCATGCGTCAATGAAGTTGAGCAAGAACCGGAAACGACGAAATTTCTTTCGCTTCCTGGCGCACCACGCAACGACCGCACCACTCGGTTTCCTCGTTAACACCGTAACGTCGATTCCTTCACCCCGTAATTACCGAAGTTAGTCTTGAGGCCTCCTAATTCCTGATTTTATTTCGATCGCAGTGCATACTCCTGGGAGTGCGGACGATCCACGTGATGCTGCGATACGCCATACACCTGTACGACACACGTGGAGCGGGCACCTCGTCGCCAAGGTCCTGGGACAAACGCGGATCTTTGGCTTATTACACCGAATTGGCCTCCGAGCTGACCGTTTTGGCGGTGGACCTGCTTCATCACATCCACATGCTGCTGTGGAGCAACATCTTCCTCAGCATGGCTTCCCTCGTAATCTGCATGCAGCTGAGGTACCTCTTCCACGAGATACAGCGCAGGATAACGAAGCACAGGAATTACCTGGCCGTGCTGAACCACATGGAACAGAAGTGGGTATCGGTCCATGGAGTGTCCTAAAATTAAAGAGACACTCGACAGCGTATAAACAAAAGCGATCGGAGGCTTTCAATGATACAATCGTCTCCTTCCAGCTACCCCATGGCATCGGCGGAAGAGCTCGCGGAGAACTCGGACAACTGCGCCATTTGCTGGGAGAAGATGGACTCGGCCCGGAAGCTGCCTTGCGGTCACCTCTTCCACAATTCCTGCCTGCAGTCTTGGCTCGAGCAGGACACCTCCTGTCCGACTTGCCGACAGGCCTTGAGCATGCAGGCCAACCACAGGGAGAGCACCCCGGAGATACCGCCGGAAACCCAGCCCCCAGCTAGGAGGAACGAGAATCACTTCTTCCACTTCGACGGCTCCAGATACGTGGCCTGGTTGCCGAGTTTTTCGGTCGAGGTCACGCATAATCGACCTCGGGCCGACATCCTTACCCTGGCGCACAGCAATTCCCAGCTGGACGCCATGGCCAGACAGGCGAGTGTCGAGGAACTCGAGATCATTCCGTGAACCGACCCCGAGGAACCCATCGGTAACGTGGATCCTTTCACAGGTGCAGCAGCTGTTCCCGCATTACCCCAGGAACATCGTCCTGGAGGACCTCAGGGTCACCAGGTCGGTCGAGCTGACCATCGAGAACATCCTGGACGGCAGGTTGACCCTGCCTTATCATCTTATCGAGGAGCCGGAAGCGGAACCAGTGTCGAGAACGCAGACCACCACCACCCACGTTTGGCCCAGTCCGTTGACCCAAAACTCCTGGGACTTGAGGTTTGCCATTACTCACCGCTTATCGTTTAATTAATATTTCATTAGGCGGCCAATCGATATCAAAACGGCCCATTCGATTCAAGCTCGAATGACCTTTCCCCGCTCGTGGAGAACATGGCGCGATAGTCGAATGCAATTAAGCCGTACAATGTAAGTGCCAATAATTGAGATATTTTATATATATATATATATATAAAACCAGCGTTAAAGGGCAACGCTAAACCGTGCATTACGGAATCAAGTGCAAATCGGTCTTGAAGACTGGTTCTAGTCAAGGTAAAAACTAGGGCAGATCCGTGCACCTCGTGTCGCAAGATCGGGATGTAGTGTGGAATAACGGATCCTGTGTGTATATTGAATGTCGAGGTACTTAGACTCATGAACACGTATATCCAGACGTCAGATCGCTCTAACGGGTACTTGCTGATTTATCGCAATCGTTTTTGCGTTCGCATTTAAAGGTTCGGGCATTAACGTTCACGTGGTCCGGAGTTGCTCGAGGCGATGATTAACGGTTGAACGTCGAATCGTTGGCCGATAGGTCAAGAACCGAGGATCATCGAGATTCGCGATACTGAAGATGCCTTCCAATTTCAGCGGAGAGGAGCCCTCCAGCCTCGGCGGACGTTTCTCGAAGTCCTCGGCGGAAAGGGAGCGCATCCTTCGACGCCGGAAGGAGCACATGCTGCTGACGGCTCGCCGGAAGTACCTCGAGAAGCACCGGAAGTCGGAATCCGAGCCCGCGGTCCCGTCCCCGAGGAGGACGATCGAGTCCACTTCTTAGAGGAGCATTTATTAGACGGGCGATCCGTTAATGGCTGGGTCCCACGACTTAATAATTAAGTAAGACTTAATAGTAAGAGCTGTCGCTCAGCTGTGACGCTTACGGAGAGAACTCTGCTCTCGGGAGTCTGGGGCTCCATCGAGACGTGGACGAACGTCAGTGACGAAGAGCACCCGGCCCTTAGACTCATCCTGGGGGCGATTTCTATTTTGCGGGGGAGGCACGCGGTGCAACGTAGGCGCGCCGTTTTAGCGCATCCGTCAGCTATGCTTTACGTCGACGCAAAATATGAATTACGAGCGAGCTAGCCGAAAGCACGGCCGACCCGACTCGTGTTTTCGGCCGATCGTTCTTTCCGTGCACCGGTGACACCGAAGTAACGTCAATGTATGGTCGGCCGTCGATAAAAACGTATCAGCGTCGAATGGTCGAGCGGTATAATCCGGATTACCAAGTGGTCCAATCCGTACCTACCGTACCGTTGATAACGCGATAACGGCGACACGGCGTTAACGCGTCATCGATTATAGTCGACCTCGACGCTGGGGGAAAACGCCGAATGCTAACCGAAAGAACGGCAAAATGCGCACCGTGCTTTCGAGTTATCCTAAAGGCGATATTCTTACCCTTGCCGCACAGGGATATTAAGCGATGACGCTTTTGAGGTTGCAGGATCGTCGACATTCGTAGCGTGACGACGAAAGTCGTTGCAGAGGCCTGGGAAAATCCCGTTTTGTTTTTTTCTTTTGTGGAATCTACTTTTAGGTTGCTTCTTTTTTTTTTTTTTGATGAGCAATAGGCCGCGAGATGCGCGAGACTACCTATTATTATTTAGTTTTATCTTGTCAGAGAGATGTCAGGCGATTGGGACGGATGTCATGTCCATCTCCGTTGTGATTTTGTCACCAGGCCCTGAAGTCCTGCGAATAGATGTCCTCTGCGACTGTCGAAAGTCCGTAAAAAATATCCCATTGTTGCGGTAAGCATCTCGGAGAGACATTGAGTTACGGAGGTGTATCGGGCACGCGAAAGCACGATAGCTGGAAGAGGAATGAATCGAGACGCGGAGGGGAAAGGGCGGCTGTGTCTTTTACAGGAAGTTTTACTTAAACCAGTGGCAAATCTCAAGTAGGACGTTTGTAATCGTATTTAGGCGAACGAACCGATGAGCGGTCGCATCGAGAGGGACTTTGGGGTGTCGGAAATAAAAAGTCGTGACCACTTGGGGTCTCCCTCCGTGATGTCGGCAGGATTTTATTTTAGCATAATGTCTGTCAGCCGATTTACCGTCTAATCGTCATCGACGTGTCCCGGGGCTGGAAAGGGGAAAGAAGGAGGAAAATAAGCAACGCGTCGCCGCGAGTCCATCCCTTTGACCGATCGTTTATCGCGTCTCCAATTGTCGTGGCCGTTGATAACGCCAAACCGCCCTTCGTTTGTTGTATCTTCGTCGTCCGACCGTGGTTTGCGTCTCGTTAATTCACGGTTCCGACCGCGACGCGTACGATTTAACAACGGGGCCATTCTAACGTAACGTTCGGTCTTGTCGGAAATTGCTAGGACGCTCGCTCGAGAGACGAATTATTCCAGTATTTAATGTTAAGCCACTTTCGTTGATTCGTGGACGACCGATACTCAGATAGACTTTGCGTTTGCCAAATTAGCAAACTCGTGTACAAGAAATTCAACTTCCCGCGGACGGGGAACTCCCTCTTCGGGCACCTTTGAATGGACCTTGGATCGAGTTTCTACCCTAAATCGGATAAAGGTAACAATAGGGGAGGGAAGAGGACGTCGATCGTTCGCAACGAGCACGATATATTTCCCGAGAGGTCCTCGGTGTCCCTTTAATAATTTATTCGAGGCAGCGTACGTTGCCAAATAATGATTCGGCGGGAATTGTTACAGTTCGGAGAGACTCGATTGTTCTTGGGCGCGCGAAAGGACGCGATAGAAGATACTCTAACTATGTATAATTATAAGCTAGTATAGTTCGGTTGCTCTCCAGCATATGGATCACTTTATTTAACGATTCCTCGAGTGTAGTCAGGAGCTTTGATAACGAGCGTAGGAAGAGTTTCGAGGTACCTTTTTCGATTCGATATTTACTCTATGAAATTGAAGCTTGCGCGTCTTGACTACGTCGTAACTTTTCTCAGTGCATTATACATACATACATACATACATACATGCGTATATATATATATATTTTTCTTTCTTCTACACGCCGGACGGTACGCCCTTCGGTTTTCCTAGTTCGCTTTTGTGATATAAAGGAAACTTAAGTGTGAATATACATATTTACGTCCTTGCGTTCGGTTGTACCATTAAATGCGAAAATGGCGTCACGAGTACCATACGTGAACTCGCGAACCGTTCGGAATTTATTCAAAGTCAGATATTTAAAGTCGAGTCGATATCTACGATAATAAGGAACGAGAATTTTAGTGGTGGTATCCCGTGTTTATTCACTTTCATTAGTATTAATCGAGCTATTTATTTTGTAGAGTTTTAAGCAACGGAAATAGGCGAAAGCGAGGCGATTACGCTGCGTTGGGGAGATACCGACTTCTTTTTTGTGTACGGCCCGATGGGCCAGTTGACGTTTTAGCATTTTTGCGTGATGGCTTCTTGCAGGATGCACTTTGGGAGGCGAGTGCTTTCAAGACTGTTCTTATCGAGCACCTGCGTAACTTTTTTTAAGGACATCCATTCGATCGTTACACTTCGGACACCGAGCCTGAACTCCGATCTTAATTGTCGTACCGGTCAAGAAGCTGTCAGTGTTTCAGAGTATACTTTCTAAAGGGTCCGCGTCTTAACTGTTTTTATTGGTTTCTTTTATTAACGCTAAAGTTTTGTCCGAGATAGTATCGAGGCTCGTTTTATTTTTACAAAAATTTGTCGTTCGCAGAGTCGAGAGCTAAGGTTTTGCGACCCTATGAAATTATACCCTTGTATATCGTTTATCGATCCTTCCATTAATATCTTGTAAATATACATTGAGATAAGTTCTACGTTCTTTCCTGCTTAATAACCTGTCCCATTACTTAGCATTGTAACGATATGTAAGGCAAATATATTATATTATAGATTGGTCTAGTTACGTTACTTAACTCCTCATTGAGTCTGACGCTTCTTTGACATTTTATAGTTTGAATTGCATTGAAGGTGTAAAAAAAATATCTTGCAAATTTCACGAGGAACATATATTCAAAAATAATTTATTACACGAAAGCATGACAGGTTTGGTGCAAAACGGAGATACAAAATCATTGTTTTATCCAATGAAATTCATGACCACGATATGTAGGATAATATGGGCAAATATGAAGTCGGCGAACCCCCGTTCCGGACTTATCCCATGAAATTGGCTTTTATTCTGGGAGTTTACTTGCAGCCGGAGGCAAACTGAAACAAAATATATATACAAATAGTATACTAAACTTCCATCTAGACGGTATAAAATATTCTTGTTTTATCAATTTGATACGAACGAAGAATACAAGATGCACGTTGCGTGGACTTGTTAATCCTAGGACTTGACAGTTATACATGCTCAATAAATATAATGGTACATACCTCCAAGGATGAAGCAAGACACGCAGGAAATGAATCCACTGAGAAAACTATTGAAAGGGAACGTGCCTACCAGGCAACAGTATACAAACTGAATGACACCCGTCAAGAATACGTACAGCAAGTACGCATCGATGATTTTCAATTTCTTCGGGGTACCTCTCGAGTACTCTTGCCCGAATTTTTCGACAACGGCTATGATGGACATTTTTTTACGATTTTTGTTCCGAATTGCCGAAAGCTTGCGAATTTCAATTGACACGAGCAACAAACGACGCGTGGCAGACCGGCGACCAGAGATGAGTTGGGAAATTGGTCACGGTTGGGTCGCGCGATCGCGTTCCGTGCTGCCCTCAGTGGAGAGTGCGGGTGGCTCGCGCACTTGCCACCAGATACCCCCCAGAGTGGCGGTCCTCATCTTTGCAGTTATAAAAATATATCACTCGATAACGACATTTTCTACTCTATCGACTGTGAGCAATACGTCCGTTCATTCACAGATTGCAGCACAAACGCTGAACTGAACGTCGTTTCACCGAGTTACAAATAAAGTTTGTAACCCCCCAAAGTGCATCCCTTCAATAAACGTTATTGGTAGTTTCTCTTTCTAGAACGTGCTAATTGTTCAGGTAGAATATCCATTTTTCATTTAGAAGAAATAAATAAATCACAAAAATCACTTCAAATCAGAGAAGAAAAGCTGCGCACGCATGTGGATCTATTTATTAAACTATCCAAAGAAAATAATTTGAAGGAAGGGTATAACACCGCTTTACCGTTTTTATTGTAAGCAATTTCTTTCTTAAACAGTGACGGTCGCGCTGTACGGCCACATGTAGCGCGTAGGGAAATTAATAACGGATCGTACGTGGAACCTGAGGATGTCGTCCCCCGATTCGTACTATTAAGCATTAATTGCGCTTACCTTGAAGGGGGGAACTACAAGTCCTGTAGAGAAGTTTCATCCTCTCATACCTTTCGAAGAAAATCGATTGCCGCCAGCTTTATAATTCTTGCACGATAAAATGTCTGAATCGAGCTGGAACGATGAATATACCAACGCAGGTAAGATGGCGTTGGAGCCGCCATCTTGAAGTCTGCGGTAAGTTTCAAACTGCTTTAATTTTCAATGAATATTACGAGATAAAAAGTGTCAATTGTATTGGCATCCCGTGCCAGGAAGGACTTTACACAATTATAAAGATGACGGAAAGTAAAATTGGAAAAGTAACGAGTGGTTATTGTATTTCTCTTTATTTGAATATTTTTAATGACGATGTGCCGGTTTACAGAGTTCCGAAAAAGTGTACAGTCTAGAATGGTAATCGCCGCACAATTTTCATTATGTCAATATACAATAAATATATTCAGTTGTTACATCAGGAAAATCCATCGTTCGATATCGAGTGTGAATATGCGGATTTGAGAACTATTAAATCTGTAGCCACGTTGTAACCTGTATCAATGTTCTTATATTAATGACAAACACTAAAAAATAGACACTGCAAACGCAAACACACCCAACACACAGTATACGCAAACGTAGATAAGTATATCAGAATATATAAGAGGAATGAGAAGTTTTCCGCCTTTCAGCAGATATGACTTATGTGACTTGGATACATAAATAAATATAAGATGGGTATATACAGAGTTACAAATAAATATAAAGTAATAAATATTTAAGTGAATGCCATACGAATAGTACGCCCTATGTAATGATGACGAATGCAGCCATGTCCAAACCTCGCTTTTTTTTTTCTAGTTTTATTCTTTTACTCAGGTTATACATCACTTTTTATTTCTTCGTCATAGTATAGAATCATCTTTTCTATTTTACTTCGAGTGTTTAAATTGGTTTGAACATGTCCATTGCAAAATGATACGATAGCTCTTGTTCTCTTGTTATGAATATTCTAATACGATATTAAATTAACTTATGATAGGCCTTCACTTAACGCAAACCTTAGCAAATAAATATTACATGATTACGTGACTATACTGTAATACATGTATTACATGTTCTCACTGATAGGGCGCATAAATTAATTCCTATTTTAATCTTTGCCTTAACGACTAGAATTATCCATGGACTGAGATCAATGACCCTACTACGCTTTCCAAAAAAAAAAGTGGCATTTTCTAAGTTCTTCCGTTATAGAAATATTCTCACATCCGCCTATTTTTTCACTGGAGAAACATTTCGGGTTAATGTCCCTGGATCGTGTGACTAGACTCCACTCTTAATATATTTCCATATATTATTTCGTTAATAAATTAGCGCGTTTCTACGAGGACTAGAGTAAAATACGTATTAGGGTAGGATATTACTTAAAAATGCTTTCATGAAGGGAATTATATAGCAACGATCCTACTGCAGAGGGGATATACTATTTTCTGAGAAGAAGTACCGTACTTTATAATATTTCAGACAAGACACAGTTCTAAAATATGCCGAAAGAAATTATAAGAGAGCAGAAAGTACAGAGATCTTTGTAATCATCGCTCGACGTGGTAATTTAAATATTTCCAAAGAATATAGCACCGATTCTCACGACTTCCAGTATATCCCATCTTTTCTTTAAGTAGGGTGGTAGTTACTAATAATTAAACCGATATTGTACGTCAACTTTGCTCTTATTGACTTTTGGATCTCTCCTGAGGGAGGAAGTCAAATGTACCTCACCTTAAATCAGAATAAAACTCACAAAATCATATATTTACCTAACTTCAAATCATACTAAAAAAGAAGTCTGACTAGAAAGTAAGTTAAACTAAATTTGATTATGTCTTCTTACTCAGAATGTACCTTTCGGAACTTAAATTAGTAGTTTCTTAAAATTTCCTCTTAACATTAGATGACTAGATAAATAAATCTTACATAATGACTAGTGCCTGACTAGAATTTGTTATTTTCGTTTAATAAAATTTTCTTTCTTCTCGGGAATTGTTAAAAAGTAACACAGCCTTAGAAATACTTCGTTAAGTATGACCTAAATGGTTATCTAACTACTTAGTTTGCCTGTTAATGAATTTTGAAAGGTATTGGAATTTATGAAAATTTGGTATTGCATTCTTATATGGAAATATTAGATCAATTAGCTGCCATTGAGGACGTCTAATGCACTGACAAAATGGACTATGTTTGAAGTAATGAATGCCAGTATAGGGTAAAAATTACGAACTAGAGAAATGAGATTCCTTAGAAAAAAAGCTAAATTAAATATGGCTTCATATAGGCACTTGGTGCGCGTTTAACACAGAATATAAGATATTCCTTTTTTCCCCGTTAAGACGGAATAAGAATTCTGGAAAATAAGCGACTGACTAATATTAATACTGGCACATATCCCGGGATAGGTTAAAACTAAAGGGTTTGACTTTGTTAGTGACTAGAAAAATAATATACTCTTTCATTTTGATCTTATGGCTTACGTTTACGTTACATTAAAATTACGTTATACCTACTTTATAAAATTCTAATTCAGTAAATTTACGGTATATTTATTTTTTGTTATGGCATCGTATCCACGGGCAGTGCTAGCTTTGTGATGTGTTCGTTACTATGTACTCTATTATTTACATAATGAATTTATACAAATCCTGATTAGATCAGATAGGGAATTATTATTTCACATTTTCTTTTTTAATTAGTTTAATAAGTAATAATTTGGAAAAAATGAAGCCCTTGCAAATCTAAAACCCGATTTCCAAAATTGCATTTCAAAGTGGCCTGCTTATTTCGATAGTTACTTTTTTCTGCTTTACAAAATGATTAATATATGCTGACGGGACGGAAAAAAAAAAATCGTAGAGGGGAACACACAGCAAAAATGTTCCCTCTAGATACGGCCGAAATAAAATTGGTCGAACTTTTCTTTTAATTCGGCTTGAGATGTCGAAGCGACAATGAAATTGCATTTAGAGGTGGCCTGCATATCCGATTTCGGAGTATGGAGAATTACATTACTTAAGTGAGAAAATATATGCCTTTCGCGATTTATGTACAGCGGAGGTTAATCCTGACTACCATCGATGACTAGAATATTTTTTATCGTTGACTAGATCGATTTGATTCTGCATTTAATCATATAGCATCTAAAATAAATTTAATGACTAGATATCGTAAATGTGTACCTATCGTTCCTAGAATAATCTTTGATGGTTGACTAGATGTATGTTAGACTTCGCGATAAAGCGAAGCCTGGCATCTGATATCGAAATAATGACTAGAATGCTTTGGACAATCTATCCCGTAAATCACTTAAATTACGTAAATTTGGAATGCGTAGTATGGGAAGGTTAATGTTCCTTCAATATTTTTCTCCAACTAAATTTACCTTATTTAGAACTTAATATTTATAGTTAAAATTATGACTAGATTTATTCGAAATGTGTGGAGTAGAATAATCTTTGACTAGACTTGATCCCTTTTTCACAGAATTGAGTTGACTAATACTGAAACGACTAGACTTCTTTTGATCTTGAACGATAACCCTATATGAGACGTATAGTGCACCATTTCACTTACTACCTTCCCATAAAAAAAAATCTTTCAAGGAAACGAAAGTGCCTGACATTTTTTCATTATTTCTCTGAAGAATCTTCGTTTGCATGAAATGCACTATTTTAAAAAATAACTACCAGAATACTTCCAAGTTCTCCAGAATATTGTCACCGATCGGAAATAGTTATAGTCCGGGCCAAACGAGAGAAGAGAACCGTTAATTAAATTATGCATAATTGCTTTTCCATGTCCTTACGTCGTAACCAATTTTTTCCGCTGAAGCGTTGAACCCATGTTTGAAACTTCCTTCGGCATCGTTTCTCCAAGGAGTAGCTGTTTGCGTCGGCATGTTGTATTCTCCGACGCCCCGATGATATAGATTCTTCTTCAATTTGGAATCTGCAAAACACACAAAAAACGCTTTAAATTAAAACGACAAACGGTGCCACGTTAATTACAAAATGTTGCAAAAAAAAAAAAAACATTTTCCGAATTGTCGAAGTAAATAAAATCGAGGCTCATCTCACCTTTTGAGTTGAAGAACGCGTTTCAGCGACGACGGTCGAGGGGATGATTTTCTCAAAAAACGGCGAAAGGACGATCTCGAATGTCCAAGCCTGTTATCTCTCGCCTCGCCAAAACTCCATGGAATTAATGCGTCTTTCTCCTGTCAGGTTTTATGCAATCCAAGGTTCAGAGGTCTCCATTTGCAGGAAATTTCGGAAGTTCGAACTTGGCGCGTGGCGTTCATCCGAAGAGTCGCGCTATTTATCGGATTCCGTGGCAAGTGTATCGTTCGGC